ATCCATACTGATATAAAGATCATTTTGAAAGTAGCTCGTTGAACTAGGATTAAATCCATACTGATATAAAGATCATTCTGAAAGTAGCTCGTTGAACTAGAAAGCAGAGTGTAATTTTACTATGTATTTGTAAAATCCATGTATTTGAGAGAGAAATTGCAAAAGTACAAGGTTTATGCCATTTGTCAGTGCACACCCAGCTAATGTTAAATTCTTATCCCTGAAAATGGTGATTTTGCAACAGGCTTTATACAATTAAAAGTCCAGTTCGTGCTTAAGACAGCACTGTGTGTGTGTGTGTGTGTGCATTAAAATCCATTTTTAAAGTTAATATTGAAAATTAATAAAATATTTTCCTGAGAAGTCATTCAGATAGTGGTGATGTAGTTTAAAATATATTTTTTATTCATTTTCTATAAGTAAACTTGTAACTTTTTAATGTCCGTTTTTTCCACATAGTAATGACCTATTTCAAAGTATAGTACACTCTTTATTTCATCCTATACACATAGCTTTATGATCTTATACTCTGTAGTGTACTTTGTACGAACATGAAATACTATTTTTTTATTATAAGTTATCAATGAATTTTTTAAAGTTACTTTTATATGCAGCTTTTTGTTTTATATATATATATATTTTTTTTATGTTTGAAAGTGCGAAATTTTTAGTGAGAGGTTTTATACATTTAACATAATAATCTGAATATTTTCTTTTCTCCTTGCCAGGAACATGGGTGACATTTGGTTCTCAAATTTCAGAAGAGGTAAAACACATCTTTATTTTTTTCATGTTTTGAAATTTTTATATTAAATATATTTCTTTTTATATTAAAGTATGCTCTAAATACTGATGTAATGCATTTACACGTAATAAGTAACTTTGATGTAAGGCCTAAAATAAAATGTTTCTTAGCTGTTAGGGCTTGGCATGGCCAGATGGTTAAGGCATTCAACTCGCAATCTGCAGGTCGTAGATCGAATCTCCATTCCACCAAACATGCCCACCCTTTCAACTGTGTGGAGGTGTTATAAGTGACTGTCAATCCCACTATTCGTTGGTAAAAGAGTAGCCCAAGCGTTGGCAGTGGGTGATATGTCTAGCTGCCTTCCCTCTCGTCTTTCATTACTAAATTAAGGAAAACTAGTGCAGATAGCCCTTGAGTAACTTTGTGCGAAATTCAAACCAAACTTTGCTGTTGACGAATGTTCCACTAAAAACTGCTGTCACTCAAACCTTGTTTTGAGGGCTATTGAAAAAGAATTTATTTTCACATTGTTTCTTGGAAATATGCAGTAGGAAATGGCTTGAGGACAAAGCAAGAAGCAAGAAACCTGCTTCTAGTGATCATTGTATCCAAAACCACAAGATGAAATAATATATACTGTTACTTTGAATGTGATAGGTTATATTCATGTAATATTGCATGTCTTTAGTAAAACATGAAAGCTGTTATAAACGAAAAATTATACTTTTTTTTATGCAATATTTGTACAAAAAAACTTTAATAGTGAATTTCAAAAACTTTGCTTAAGCCAAAAAATTGAAAGAGGATTTCAAGGCTGAGAATAAGATTATTTAATTTTGCTTATAGAACTTGTTAAATAAATATATAATAATAAATTCTGAAATACACTTAGAAATGAGTAGTAGTAGTAATACTCTCTGTATGATCAGTTCATGAATAAGGTATTCCCTGTGCCTAATCTCTAAGTGGTCCTCATAAATGTCAGTTTAAAAATTTAAAACACAGAAATATATTAATTACTAGAATACGCTAATCCAAAGCTACTAATAATTTTCCACAATTCTAATTTAATTTACAAGTAGTTTAAAAAATTCATTACCCATTTCCAGCAATGCTCTAAACTTGACTTTCCTGAAAATAACTTACACAATTAGCTAATTTACCAGTTTTTAATATTTTCATTTCTGACTGAAGGACTAATATCATAGTTAAAGATCACAAACAACTTCAGGCAAAAATAATTGTATATAACCAAATGTACCATTCTTTTCAACAGTCTTTTAGCATCGTAGGGTATAAGTCTGATATTTGAACAATAGTAACCAAAAATAATACAAGACCACAACAATGTAATAGAAGAGTACTTGTTGAAACATCCAATAAGTATTGTTTAACAAAATAGATTTGTTGATGAAATAATAAATTTAGGGTCAATTATTATAAAATGTAAATTGAAGCAAAAGTTATAGGTTCATTGCTCATAATAATGTTAGTGTGTTTAAACTTTTAATGAAATATTTTTTATTGCTCATTAAATCCATCTCTAGACTGTATAACCTTACCTTATCTCAAGTTATCTGATGTTTTCTCTTTGAAGACAATTTCTGTAGCTTTCAATCAGATATAATTTAACATACAAAAATTTTCACAATTTGCAACGAAAAGAACGTTTACAGAAACAATTAATACATTATTGGTTATTCTTGCTGTATCAAATCATATTTAAATTTTCTTTAAAGCTGCTTTCAGAGCTTTGTTTTATTAGTAAAAGTTTCAACCACTTCATTTGACACCCTACCAAGGTTTCAATCAAGGCCTGTACAAACACTAACGGAAAACGCATGAAAATCATTAAATGGATAATATGTAGGTTTTTAGTGAAAATAATTATTTAAATATTTACTTTTTTTCTTCATTCATTACACTAAAGCATCAGAACGTGACAAAATGTTTATATAAATATATTTTTGAGTTAATATTATTTAAATATTTACAAAATTGCCTTAAACATTTGTGGCAAAAATATATAAAAAATTAGAGGAAGTCTTCAGATACAATAAATTAGGAGTAAGTTACATTTTTTAATCCTAAACTGTTGTATATGAAAGTGTATTGTATATACAAAGTAGTACAAAATCCTATAACAACCTTGAAGTAATATGATTAATAACGTGCATAGTATTGTTACGTCTCCATTTGTTAATTAATTTTTCCGTAAATTCTTTCAAACTAAACTTTAGCGACACAAGTCCTTTCTTAAATAAAACTGGTTTATTCTTTCTGAATATAACTTTACGATACACTTAATTTCAACATTCGCGCTAAAACAAACGCTATAACAACGAACGTTAACTTGAACAATACTCTCTGACTGCAGGTCAATTACTCACTACCTACACGTTGTCACCCTCTTATATATATACCAGACTACCCCCCAATCTAGTAATCTTGGGAAGGTTCGAGAAAGAAGTGGCATGACACTAGTCACGTGACCTCGCTGACGCAACAGTATGTAGCTTTTTTGTTTAATAACAAACAAACATAATGACATTATTTAGAGTACTTGGATATTTGGATCAATTGAAAACGGTAAGTAATCCAGAAACTAATTTTGATTAGTTGATTATTTTCTTAGTAATTGATTTGATCATAATATTGATTAATCAATTAGTTTGTGGGACAATAATTGATATAATGCTGATCATAAGTGATCGATTAAGTTCCCCAGCTCTATCCTTCACTCTTAAAAAAAAAGTCACTTGTGTAATTTTTTTTTCTTTTTAATCATGATCAGTGTAAAACGAATTTTTGATAAGTTTCTTTGTGTGTGTATGTGCGTGTAGACCTGAAAGTCTAAAAAAAACAGTGAATACTTACTCTATTGTACAGGATCATATATGTATTTTATTAACTGGAACTTTTATATTTTATATGGTGCATAAATACCCAATATTTCATTTTTTGAAATCCTAAGATCAAATTATATTATCATAAACTAGATATATACATGTAAGTTATTAGTGTTTACAGAAACTAAAGTTCTCACGAAACACCTAGGATTGAAGGTTGTGGTAGCTTTTCCTTCTATTTTAACGATTGATGAAACACATAAATATTGAGTGGTTGTTCTTTGTCAGTTCAGTTGAAAACCTCAAATGTTTTTCTCATTACCAATAAAAGAAGGGGTTTTTATGCTTAATATTAAACTTTCATTGTAACTGTTAATACCTTCTGTGTGTGGTGGGGGGGGGGGGTTAGTTTTTTTCATGATCATGAATTACAATTTAGTAGTTTGTATTTTAGAATGAAGTACTCAACTTCTCGTTGTAGGTTGCAGAAGATATTTTAACGATAGCTTATGAAAGTGGAATAAATGTATTTGATACAGCTGATATATATGCTAGTGGGAGGTAAGTTTCTTTCTTGTTTTTAATTTTATGCCATAATTCTTTACATTTTGTTGTATTTTCAACTGTTATTTAAAATTATTTTATTACAAGCTACAGCTTGTACAGTAAAGAATATTATTTTTTATAATGGGAACAACGTTTCGATCACTGGTGTGATAATTTTCAAATACAAAAGTTGTGTACTTGGTAATGATTGCACTATGATCAAAACATTATACCTGTACTAAAAAATAATCTTTCTTATTGTAAAAACTGTAACTTGTAATAAAATAATACTTAATCAATAAGTAAACTCAAAACGAAACTGTTAGTTAACCCAATAGAGACGGGTAGGGGTCAGAGGGCATGTCAACATTTTATTTAGCTATTATTTTATAAACATATGTGAATAAGTTTTGTATCAAGTTGTAGATTATATTCAAATTTTAGTATTATATATTTGTTAGTTTTTTAATTTAAAACTAAATATTAAAGAAAAAGGATAAATATCAATTTTTGTGTGTCACATGGTAAGTGACCTTCCGGGTTTGGTCAGATTACATTTTATGATGCCCACAATACAACGTCTATAGTTTCGTACAAATTATAAACTCCAATGTTTGATATTGGCAAGCTAGAATATTAAATAAGAACCTCCTACCTTTTCTATTTGCTGAGATATCATGATATTTAGTGAACCCACCATATTAGCTCCACCCACCACTTCATCATTTGAGAAGACTTGTTTATCTATGCCTACTTTTATATACCAATAACTTTATAATCAATTAAAAGCTATATATTTATTCTACATAATTCTGTCGGTCTTCCCAAGTTATTTACGAGAGAAATGCTCTTATATCTTTGGAAAGTTTGAAGTATTGCTATCAAGGCTATTTTGTGAATAGAAATTATTTTTTTCACACCCAAATACAATTTAGTTAGGAAGCCTGATAAATTACAATAGATTTTTGGGGTACTGGTATAGTAATTTATATATTTTTTTGTATTCCAAAATGCTTACATGAAGACTACAAAAATTATTTTTTTTCCATCTCCACGTGTGAATTTGGACGAGGCTTAGCAAGTATGGCTCACGAGTACAAACAAGAACTTTGTAGCAGTAGAGATCGTTGTTTTCCAAATATTCTTTATTTGCTGTTTTATGTTTGAAGAACTGACATTTAAGTATTTATTTGAAAACATCAGTTTTATATATATATATATATATGTAATCTATGGTAGCCAATACGGTACTGTATTTTATAAACTAAGAACTTGTGTTATTTTTCTACTTGTTTACATTGAGGTGGAATAAAAAATAAATTATATAAAACTAAAGACTTGATAATTCAGGAAAAGTTTATTTATGTAATTTGTGAAAGTCTGAGAGATAAATTTATCACTGATCAACTGATCTTAACACATGAAAAGAAACATTTTTACATAAACACCCAGTTGAACTTGCAATTTGCTGGTGAATAATTTGTTTCTCAAGTTACAAGAATATTAGCCCAACCAAAATGTACCATATTTATATTACTGGAAACTACACCTTTATTGGGTACTGTGTAAGCATGGTAATATAGGAAACAGGATGTCCGTAAGCATTTATACACATTTACACCTATACCAACACTAAATCCCGACCACCAAGTAAGATAACTAGCAAGTTTATTGGATAGGACACAACTTTATACTTTGTACAGAGCCATATCATAAATATTTTCTCTCACTTTTATAAAGTACTTTAGACAATTCTTGTTGCAACCACTGTATTGTATAGAAGCCGACAAATTCTATCCCACTGTGTTCTCAGAGCAGCGATCCGATTAGTTTCTGTAGGATACTTCTGCTTTTTGACTTATTGGATCAGCTCAGACTTTTATAGTACTTTAGACAATTATCGTTGTAACCATTATACTGTCAACAAGTTGATATATCCTATCCAACTGTGTTTTTAAAGCAGGGAAAATTCTGGAAATTGTGCCACATGAACTTATTTTATATTGACGGTGTCAGAGTATGGTAACACCTAAACAGGAACAGTAATTTATTGCTTTATATTCAGCAGGTTTCTACTTCAGCCACTAACAGTAGAATAACAATAGGAAATAGGTGTAAAAAGATTAGAAGAAACTGTCAAGAGATTTACTTGGAACTTTACTGTCCGTAATGAAAAGAACAGAGTACTATTGATTTTGTATCTTCTAATTTCTAACTCATCTACTAGCAATAAAATAACTACAGAAAATAAATGTGAAAAGGTGAGAGCGTAAACTCTGACCTTAAGTACCTCGTAATTTTGTAAACAATACTATACATTTTATTTTGTATTATTCATTATACTTTGATTACTTACCTACAACCTGGAGGAATAAGTATAATGTTATAGTACAAAAAATAAATAAAATATAAAGCTTTACTGAAAATAAAAATGTTTGATACTTAATTATGAGGTTTTGCATTTTTCATTTGATTTAACTGTTTATTATTATAAAAGTAACTAAAATTATATAAATAGAAAGCTGTTAGATAAGATAATGAAAGAAAAATAATAAAAACCTTCATGGGGTATACGGGCCAGAAATTCTGCATTACGCTGTTCGATAGGGTCATGTTGATGCACGTGTGCAAACTTGTGTCTGAGTATGTTTAGTGAGACATGGTTCTAAGGTCAGTAAAACAAAAATTAATAAAAATAAATAATTTTATACTGTTAAGAGATGCAAGCTATTTAGAATAAACACTTGTGGTTTCCTATTACAATTATTCTAGAACCCAAAAGGTAACTTAGATTTATTTCCTAATTTTTATAGTGGTTACGAGGTCGGTCAAATCGATCACCACCATATCAAGTTAATATTGATAAAATAATAGATTAAATTAAAAATTTTATTTAAAAGAACATTTAGTGATTATCTAGAAGGATATAAAGATTATGCAAATGAAATTTTACAAATTTCAGATAAAGAAAAGTATTTTTAATCTTAAAATCTAAATTACTTTGTACATTGGATAGTCAACATTCTGAAAGAAAAAATTCACGAGCAAATCTTTAATAATAAAATCTTAAAACATAATTTAAAAACCAGATATTCTGTGTATGAAATCCTTCTAATGTTTACTGATAATCTGCAAAATTTTGTAAAGACTTGCGTACAATTACTCTCACAGGTACTTTCCTTGTTACGAGCTTGGCGGATTACACTCAGCCCGTAACGAAAGGGTTAAAATGTATGGAGGCAGTAACTGTAATCTCTAATGAAGTTATTATTCTCTTCTTGTGTACCTATGATATTAGATTTCTTAAATGTCTGAATCATAATAGCTACTACATTTCTTGTGGTATAAAATGTATGGAGGCAGTAACTGTAATCTCTAATGAAGTTATTATTCTCTTCTTGTGTACCTATGATATTAGATTTCTTAAATGTCTGAATCGTAATAGCTACTACATTTCTTGTGGTATAAAATGATGAATGTTTACTGTAGTATGTGGTTATTACTGTAATTTATCTTATTTCAGGGCTGAGCTGCTTCTGGGTAAAATCTTGAAGAAAAAGGGATGGAGGTTAGTGTTTAGAATGAATGTACAAATACAGTCTTTTATAGTTTTTTTTTTATCACTGATCACACTGAAATTGCTTGATTTGGGTCAACTGATTTTCGTGCTATTAAGTTTTCTTTAAGTGATTTAGGAGAATAGTGCTCCTAAATGTTTGTGTTAGCCTAACTCTTTAAAATAATTTCATTAAAACTTCTGTTAAGAATTAATCTTATTTCCTTACATAACCAAACCACAAGTTTTAGAGAAGTGTTCAAGAGACTGGGATAGTGTATAAGTAGACACTAATATTTATTTTCAGTTTTGTTAAAGACAAAGAAGGTAGTTACTTGAACTCTTTAGTCTGAAAATTCATGGTTTGCAGCCCATTGTTTCAAAAATGTGCTTCTCACTTTGTGGTCATGGATGTACTACTGAGTTACTATAAATTCCATTGATTAGATGAGTGCAGTTCGAGAGTTAGCAATGGAAGTTGTTAAACTAGTTGCCCATCATTTCAACATCGGAAACAGCTGTGCACAGGTAGCCCTTCGTGTACCTTATGGGAAATTCTTAAACAAACAACAAATGTTGATGATTTTGTCATGATGTATTTATTTCTGTACTTGGTATATTGAAGAAGTTTTTAACATATCTGTTTTACCATAAATGTTACTTGTCTTCCAGGAATTAGCTCATGATTTTATATTTTATTGTTTTCAAGTACTTTGATGACATTTCTTCATATTTCAGAAGATCATCCTATGTGATAACTACCAAGCTGTTTTGGGGTGGAAAGTAAGTGTTCAATATTTAATTTTTCCAACTGATGTTATGTAACATTTACTACTTTTGCTCGTAATGATTGCGATTACAACAGACTCGGTCAGCTAGTTCGTATAAGTAATTTTGACTTGCAGTAATGACATTAAAGCATTTGATTTATATTTCACTCACTCATATGCCACAAGGTGTCTGTAATAGAAACTTCTATAAAGGCTTGGTTTGGTTTGATATTTCATTGGTGGTAGTGTCCAGGGTCAC